ACTCCCAAGTAAACCCTAAACCCTAAACCCTAAACCCTAAACCCTAAACCCTAAACCCTAAACCCTAAACCCTAAGCCCTAAACCCTAAACCCTGGTCGTTGTCCGCTGAGGGGTGCTCCCTGGAAGCTTTGAGTCACTTGAGCCTTTGATCGGCTACGCCTGGGGTTTAGGGTTTAGGGTTTAGGGTTTAGCGTTCTTGCGCATTCCTCTTTAGACCCTAAACCACCGTCCCTGCGCTTCAAACCCTAAACCCTAAACCCTAAACCCTAGGGTTTCTGGCTCCTGCTGCAGGCCGATGGACTTGTGCGGTGCATCACCTTCTACTCAGACCTCCGCCGGACCCTGCCCGAGGAAATTCGGTCTACGTATAAACACAGGAGGTGGCGCCGCAAACCCTAAACCCTAAACCCTAAACCCTAAACCCTAAACCCTAACTGCCATCCCCCCGAATTCAAGATCTCCAGCAGGCTTTGCTTCACTTTGACTGGGCTGGAAGGTGAAGCCTTTCCTCCTAAAGGCCAAGGCTGAACAGCTACAGAGTTTAGAGATTAGGGTTTAGGGTTTAGGGTTTAGGGTTTAGGGTTTAGGGTTTAGGGTTTGGGTTCAGAGACGGATTAGAGGAACGCATCTACTGGCCTTCCTCGGGCCGGCAAATCGAACGATATGCAGCAGGCAATCCTCACGCCTTGCGAGAAGTCGTGACAGTAAACCCTAAACCCTAAACCCTAAACCCTAAACTCTAAACCCTAAACCCTTGGACCGCCCGAGCATGCAAAAACTGAGTATGTGCTGCTGATCTCTTCAGGTGTACGGCGAGAGACGTGAACTTTACTTTTACAAGTCAAGGTGAGGGCTGCCCTAGGGTTTAGGGTTTAGGGTTTAGGGTTTAGGGTTTAGAATTCAGGAAAGCGGTTTGAGTGTTTGACGTTTGCTGCTGGCGCAGACTTGACGGACTCGTGAAGCATGTGGAGGTGCTGCTCGGCCTCTGAAACAGAACAAAACCCTAAACCCTAAACCCTAAACCCTAAACCCTAAACCCTAAACCCTAAACCCTAATATACATTCTGGCGAAAGCCGGAGGTCTGTGTTCGACCGCCGAGCTCCAGACTCGCGACTACACAAGTGTGAATGACGCTTCCTAGGGTTTGAAGTTTCTTCTTTAGGCTTTAGGGTTTAGGGTTTAGGGTTTAGGGTTTAGGGTTTTCTTCAGCGGTTTGGAAGAAAGATATCTGAAGAGTTTGAAGGCCGCGAAGATGGGTTGATTGCGCACTCAGTGCAATTTGCCGATATATCCGAGGCAAACGCGAATAACGAAACCATCAAGGTGAGGGTTTAGGGTTTAGGGTTTAGGGTTTGGAGTGCACGGTTTAGATTGTAAGGGTTTAGGGTTTAGGGTTTAATTGACAGCTGACGTCTGAAGGGAGAAGACGCGTTTACTCTCTTGCAAAACGTTTCGTATCCTGCTGCGATCCTAAACCCTAAACCCTAAACCCTAAACCCTAAACCCTACTTGCTGGATGGATCAGGTTTTCGGCTCTGTGAAGGCAGTTGTGCGCGTCTCTGAGAAGTTCCGTCAGCCCCCTCAGGTTAGAAGCCCTAGGGTTTAGGGTTTAGGGTTAGTGGTTTAGGGTTGATGAAAGTCTGCATCAAGTGCAGCTTCACCTGGTTCAGCTGCATGTTTTTAGGGTTTAGGGTTTAGGGTTTTAGGGTTTTAGGGTTTTCCCTCATCAGCAACAGAAAAAAGATATTCTTACTGTAGCTTTTTTGTGTGGTTTGTCTGTTGCTGTTTTGCATGCACAAACCAGCAGCAGCAGCAGCAGCAGCAGCAACAGCAGCAGCAGCAGCAGGTGTTGTTTCTATCGAAGTTGGTTTATACAGCAGAAGGCGTCGTCCGTGTTGAATTTCAGCCCGAGAAACATTCGCTAATCAAACCCGTCCTTTACCTCAGACGAGTAAACCCTAAACCCTAAACCCTAAACCCTAAACCCTAAACCCTAAACACTAAACCCTAAACATCAGCTCTCCTGCTAAACCCTAAACCCTGCTGCTGCAGATTCGGTCGCTGCTGCAATATGATGAAGACGCCATTCCTTTTTGTGGGGGTTCAAAGGCTCCAGTTCCTACAGAGGCTGAGGTAAGCAAACCCTAAACCCTAAACCCTAAACCCTAAACCCTAAACCCTAGTCCACCTACGTCAGCTGAAGCAGCAGCCGAGCATAGAAGGAAATAACAACTCGCGGCTCAAAGAGGAAGTGAAAATCATGAAATCAAACACGCGGGCGAATCCCTAGGGTTTAGGGTTTAGGGTTTAGGGTTTAGGGTTTAGGGTTTAGGGTTTGCATGGTGCAGGTCGCTCGCTACCGAAAGATGCAAAAAGATTTGCTGATAAGGTTTTCAAGCGTCGTGATACCCCAGGCAGAAGCCGTGCATAGAGTAAACCCTAAACCCTAAACCCTAAACCCTAAACCCTAGAATCCCTAGCCTTCCTGCGCTTTCTTTCTCGACTGTAGGCTGTACTGGGGTTTGTGATTGCTGCTTAGTATGTATTAGGGTTTAGTCAGCAACCCTAATAAAGGGTTTATAAGGGTTTATTAAGGTGACGAGGGTTTCTGGTGGTTTATGAGGGTTTATGAACGTAGATGAGGGTTTTAGAAGGGTTTACAAGGGTTTATAAGGGTTTATAAAAGGGCTGATAAGGGTGTACAGAGGGTTACGAGGGTTTAGGGTTTAGGGTTTAGGGTTTAGGGTTTGTGGTCAGTGGCGGGAAGAACAAACAGCAGCGGTGCTGCATGCGAGGAGAGAAGAACAAAATAAATTAAACCAAAAGAAAATATTTTTTGTCAGAGAAGAATTTGATATGCAAGACGATAAAATAGACAGAGCTATCAGCTGCAACATCCCCCCCCCTCCTGCTGCTGCTGCTGCTGCTGCTGCTGCTGCT